AATGAGACTGGCTGTACAGCTACCGGAGAGGATCAGCTGTCCTATGCAATGTTCAGAAAAGTACCTGAAGAAATATTAAAAACAATCTTGCAGTTGTTTAACAAAATATGGAAAGAAGGGAAAATACCAAGAAGCTGGAAGAATGCGATAATACTACCTTTTAGCAAATCCGGTAAAGATCCAAATAATGTTGGTAACTATAGACCTATAGCACTAACCTCTCATTTGTGTAAATTGATGGAAAAGATATTAGTCAGAAGACTCAATTACTTTTTAGAACAAAGAGGGCTATTTGCACCATACCAAAGTGGTTTTCGGAAAGGACGATCAACAATGGATGCTGTTGTAAAAGTAAGCAATGAGATAGAGAAGACATTTAAAATGAAAGAATTAATGACTATTGTATTTTTTGATATTGAAAAAGCCTATGATTCTATGTGGAGAGAAGGACTGTTAATTAAACTGAACAGGATGGGAATCAGAGGAAGATTTTATAACTGGGTGTTAGATTTTTTATCTAACAGAAGATTTAGAGTTAAGGTGGGATCAGAGTTGTCTGATGAATTTGAAATTATTAATGGAATACCACAAGGCAGTGTAATTAGTCCAGTTTTATTTAATGTAATGAATATGGATAGAAGGATCAGATCAGCTCTATATGCAGACGATGGGGCCATCTGGGCAAGGGGAAGAGATCTGCCGTGTGTAATGGGTAAGATCAAGGAAGCAATAAGGAAAACAGAACAGTGGTCGTATGAGTGGGGATTCAAACTTTCTACAAGCAAATCTTGTTACATGCTCTTTACAAGGAAGAAAGGGATAAATGAACAGAGCCTGAAGCTATATGGACAAGATATGGAGAGAGTAGATACATTTAAATATCTGGGGCCTCATTTATAAAGCTTGCTTACGCACAAAACCTGGCTAGAAAGTGCTTACGCCACTTCTTACGCAAGAGTTGGGATTTATAAAAAAAAAACTAGTGTAGGAATGTGCGCAACTTTAAGCAAACTCCACACCTTGCTTACGCACTTTTTGGAGACAATTGGAGCAAGGTGAGAAGAATTAGTTGATGGAAAGCGCGCGTATAAAAAGCCATACAGTGACAGTCGTGCGCAATGCAGCACAATGGATGCACTTGCGCTACTCGAAGACCACGCCAATGGAGAGGGTGTTCCAAGATCGGGAAGATTTCCTGGCTCATGATGATGAATGGCTAATAAGCCGTTTTAGACTCCCTAGAGCCTTGCTCCTGGATCTAATTGCTGAATTGAGTCCTATTTTGGAGCACCCAACACACCGGAACCGCGCCATACGGGCACACGTTAAGGTGCTTACAACAATTGGTTTGTTGGCAACGGGCTCGTTCCAGAGGGAATTGTCGGACAGGTATTTATTATGACAGTCATATCACAATATAGGCGTAATTTAAATGTACAGATTCACGAAATATAAATTAATAAATTCTGTACTAACAGGTCTGGGATCTCGCAGCCATCCCTCAGTGCCGCGCTGCCAGCTGTTTTGGATGGGATCATCCAAATGACCAGTCGCTACATCAGGTTTCCCTACACTGTTGTTGAGCAGGCCAACAGCAAAGGCAATTTGCAGCAATGTCCGGTTTCCCTAATGTAATCGGCGCAATTGACTGCACCCACATTGCTATAAGAGCCCCCAGCGAGAACGAATTTGTTTACGTTAACTGAAAAGGTATGCACACCATCAATGTTCAAATAATTTGTGACTCCTCAATGGTGCTCACAAATGTAGTGGCACGGTGGCCTGGCTCAACACACGATTCATTCATTTTTGCGCACAGTGGTGTAGGGAACAGACTGCAGGCAGGTGCTGCTCGTGATGGCTGGCTCCTCGGTAAGTATTACACTAACACCATAGCATTCCCACACAACTTTATTTGCTCTGTCAGGGAAATTCTTCTCTACATTTGACCCATTCTGTTGCTGCCACTGGAACAGCATTACTGAGTGGCGCTCTTGGAATGCAATTGGATCCCGCTTGTTAATTACTCTGGTTATACCTCGCAGGTGACAGTGGCTACCCACTGAGGCGGTGGCTCCTCACACCATTTCCAAACCCGCAGAGCGCAGAGGAAGTGCGCTTTAACATTGTGCACGGCCGTGCGCGCTCTGTTGTGGAGTGCGCCATTGGGTTATTGAAGAGTAGGTGGAGGTGCTTAGATGCCTCGGGGGGCAGGCTACTCTACCACCCCAGAAAGGTCTGTAAAATTATACGGGCGTGTGTGGTGCTGCACAACTTAGCAGTGTGGAACGTCATCCCCCTCCAACCTGACTTCCTCCCCGCCCCGCCACACGTGGACCCCGACCCACAGCCACCTCCCCGGCATGAGGAACATGAGCATGGAGCAAAGCTACGTGAGGAAGTGATGCAGCGTGTGTAAAAAGGCAAGTGCAAGTTGGTTTCACTTTTTCAACAACTCTTTTATTGTGTCAGTTGCCGTCGACATTATGTCACACATGTTTTGCAATACTGTGCGTATTTGTGCCAGATCCTCCCTCACTTCTCTGATGGCCCCGATCGTGTCCCTCTGTGTCTGCAGGACAGTCTCCGTGAGAACCTGGCCGCCTCCGCGCACTCTGGATCCGCTGGGCGTGCTGGGGAAAGACGGGCCTGCAGCCTGTGTGCCAGACGCGCTGGGACGCACCTCCTCTTCCTCCACCTCCTCTCCCACTGCTTCCAACTGCAAAGTGACTGAGGACACAATGCACATCATTTCTTGCCACGTGTCTGTACAAACATTTGATTCAATAAACGTGTAAAAAATTGTAACTTACCACTCTCCTCAGTCTGTGCAAAATCTGTTTCCCCCTCCCTCTCCGTCTCTGAAAAGTTTCTCTTTCTTCGATTTGCCATGATCAATCGGGAAATGCTGTGGATCCATCAGGCTTATTTATACGCAAATCACATTCATGAGGTAATTTGCATTGACCATACATGGTGAATTTGGGGTGTGGAGAGGGCGGGGAAGAATCAAATCCCTGCTGCGCAACTTTCCGGCTGGTCTGTGATTTATAAAGGGAAAGTGCGTGCAGGTGTGCGTAGGCAGGGTTTTATAAATCAGATTTTTTTTTTGCCTACGCACTTTTCAGCTTTTCAACTTACGTACACTTTTAGTATGAATCCTACACCAGGTTTTATAAATGAGGCCCCTGGGCATTTGGCTAGACCAAAAGGGACTATGGAAGGCACATGTGGAGAAGGTGGAATCAAAAATGTAAACAAGTTGTTAATTTAATGAGAGTGATAGTGGGACAAGTATGGGGAGCTGACAAACAGGCATTGATGTATATTTATAGGGCTCTAATGAGGTCAATAATAGATTATGGATGCTTTGTGTATGGAGCAGCAGCCAAATCACACTTAGATAAGATTGATAGAATGGTAAATAAAGCACTGAGGTTATGCACTGGGATGATGAGGTCGACACCAATAAAAGCAATACAGGAAGAAGTAGGAGAAGCACCACTCGATCTGAGGAGAGACAAACTTATGCTTACATATTGGAGCCGTCTACGTGGGTGTGGTAATGAAAACCATAGACATAATAAAAGGGTAGACCCCGCTGGGGGTGCTGCGCAGCGAGAAATGCGGCCGCCATCTTGGTCAGGTCAAGCTTCCCATACGCTCCGGTCCATCATATTCATTCATTCATTCATTCAGCGATGCCGGAGCACTGTGCGGCGTATTCCTGGGCCAACAGGCGGACAGCAGAGAACAGGGCTCAAGGAATAACTTTTCACAGTTATGATTAAACGTTTTTTAAACATTACACTTGACTGTAGAGTCATTTGTAGGCCAAAGAGGAAGACTATCGGTCAACTCCAAAAAGGAAACAGCATTTGCGAACAGCTAGCTTATTCACAATAATAGCAACTTTGCTCTATTATCAACAGATTTGCATTAGATTGAAAAACTTTTGTTTGAGAGAGGTTCCAAGAAACGTTAAGAAATAAAATAGAAAGAAGAAGGAAGAAAGTGAGCTCTGTTTTATTATCTGTTTTATTAAAGATTTCTTTGTGGTGATCTCCTGTTTCATTTTGAAGATTTCCTAAGGACAAAAACTTGAGGAAGAAGTGGGAGATTGCTGTTAGAGGGAGAAATTCACAGCAAGTGATTCCTCTGTGCTGTGTAGCCAACAAGCAAATTGATATGTAGTTTAGACGCTGTCCTGTCATGCCGTTCTTGTGTTTAAGTTTTTTTTATATGTAGGCTATATATTTGTGTGTATTTCTTTGTGTGTATTTTCCAGTTATTAAAATAGTGCTTCTATATGACATTATTTGTGTGTGTCTACAAATGGATAATTAAAATTAAACTAAATAAAATATAATCAAATCAATATATATTGAATTGGCCTATTAAATCCGCCAGTTATTAATAATTATTGAGACATAGCAGGAACCTAGCTCTAAACCTCGATATATCCTTGATTAATTGTTATACTATAATACAGCCACTGCTGCCATGTTCTAAAATATCATTTTATTCATTCTGAGTATTTGAAAACGCCAAAAAAAATATGGCCTCTATCATGCCTCTTTGAATGGCGTTTGCAGAGAATAAAATTACGTAGTATTGAGCGAACTATGATTCATTTAATGCGCTCAGACTTCATTCCGCCGGTTAAACAGTGGTGCAGAGTGAGGCGGATGACCGGACCAAGATGGCGGCTGCATTTCTCGACAGCGCCCATTCGTGGTAGCGGCCGATGCGGGGTCTATCTTTTATTATGTCTTTGATGAAAACCCTTCCAAGAGTGTTATTCAAGAATGTTGGGAATAGAATAAATTTCAAGGTAATGGATTTGGTTGGATGACAAAGGCGAAGTCACACGAATATAGGCTGGAAAACATTTGGTTCAGCACCCCTACACCTATTAGTAATGTCGCGCCCAGGTTTTTCCCGAGACCTGGAATAGATCTAAGCATTTTAGAGTTAAAGAAAGAATGGCAAGAGAGTGAGATAGGAATTCTAGCAAGTCAATATGTAAGGCACAAATATGATTATTATTTAGATATATACACAGATGGGTCTAAGGATGAAAATGAGAGAGTGGGCATAGGAATACATAAACCCTCAATGAACATCAATATTGGAAATAGGATACCTGATAAGATCTCAGTATATACAGCAGAAATGATGGCAGTCATTATGGGGCTACAGTGGGTAGAGGAGGTCAGACCAGATAGGGTAGTATTTTGTGTAGATTCAATGGCAGTCCTTCTTAGTTTACAAACTACAAATTCTGACAGGGAAGACTTAATGCTGGAAATTCAGCAAAACTTATATAGATTATATAGGATAGGGATGGAAGTTAAATTTTGTTGGGTACCTGCCCATGTGGGTATAAAAGGCAATGAAGGAGCAGACAGAATGGCCAAAAAAGCAATCAGAATGACAAATATTATAGATATACCATTTGGAAAAGGAGAAACTAAGGCAATACTCAAAAAAGAAATAATGAAGAAATGGCAAGATAGATGGGACAGGGATAACAACGGAAGGAAATATTACAGGGTACAGAAGTCCATTACAGCACAAGGAGTATATAGAGGCAACAGAAGGGAAGAAACTGTATTAACAAGATTAAGGTTTGATCATACAGGTCTAAATAAAACAATGTTTGTGATAGGGTAAGTAATTCAGAAGAATGTTTGGAGTGCAAAACAACAGAAGATGTAGAACATGTGTTGATGCACTGTCGGAAGTATAGCGAAGAAAGAACAGAACTAACACGAAGAGTAATTAAGGCAGGTGGAGTGTGGAGCCTTGAGGGTATCCTAGGAACAGCAGGAGAAGGGGTACAGGACACACAGACAGCCACAGTGGATTATCTAAAGGAGACAAGATTGTATTATAGAATTTAGGGTAAGGGTTTTTTTTTGTTTGTTTGTTTTGTTTTATTCCTTCTATTACCTAAATGACATAAAGTAACTAGTAACCCATGCTACATACTCCGGTACAGTAGGTGGCGGTATGCACCTAATAAGCTATGATTGCAACCCGCCGGAAAGCCAAAAGAAGAAGAAGAAGAAGAACGTGCAGCAACAGTAGGTCTGTACAACGTCTGAACTGTGCCGGTTTGGAGAGCTCAAAGTATCTGCCAGGTGGGTGAACTAATTCAAAAAATTAATATTTTTACAATTTTGATACATTCCTATTCCTCAGTCCTGTTCAGTTTAACAGGAAACACGTAGTCCAGTGTGCTTACTGATGCGAGTTACTTATGTAATGAGCATTTTGATGTGTATTAAAACAATTTGTCTCTATTTTCAGGATGTCTCTTGAGTCAATTTTCTCTCTCCACACAACACCCTACCAGAGACTCTCACCGGTTAAGGTGAAGGTGGTCGCCCTGCAGCAGAGGACGACGGTAACGCTATGGGACTTTGGGACGGGGGATGTTCGCCCCCTCGTTACGCATGACAACTGCCATGCCGCTGTTTCTGATGGCACCTCAGTCATCAGATTTACAATTTTTGAAGGCCTCACAAAAAAACTACAGAGGGGGGATCCTACATTATCAAAGACTATGAGATTTCAAAGCTTGGTGGGACACGTTCCATGTTGTCCCGCCACAGCACAACAATATATCACGCCTCGCCAATGACAGTGCCAGCCCATCTGGAGGAGGAGGCCAAAAATCTTGTGTGCCCTCCAAGTGAACTAATCCAGATTGAAGACATAAAAGGAGACATGGGGAACATGATTACAGTGGAGGGCTGCATCACATTCGTAAGCATCTTATCGTTGCTGACCTCTGTCCTATCCAGAGGTCTGTGTTTGTATTGTTCTCATCACCCGGTCTTGCTTAAAAATTAAAATGTGTGTATCTGTGTATTTAGAAATACAAAGTTCAGCAGGTATGTGGTCAGTGGGACTCAGCAGTGCCAATGGTGGCAGTCAAGATCAAAGAGGTAAAAAATAAGTCTCAATACAAAGCTGAGAGTTAATTAAATATAGAATGAAGATTGAGGCATTGAGAGTTGTTGGTGACGCACTTCTCATGAGGCCCGTTTGGTTCTTACAGAAGAGTGCAGAGGTGAAAGTCTGCCTCTGGCGGGAGGCCATATTGACGGACCTTACCGTGGGAAGACCGTGCAGAATTACCCACCTGCGTGTGAAGAACTCTCCAGAGTTTGGATTTTCTTTGCACTCCACCACCTTCACTGAAGTGGAAGTAAGTCAACCATTCAAACATTATTTAATTCATTCAACTGATGTCTCCTTTATGATCAGCCTTTTGCTGCTAATCAGATCAGATTGTTCTATGACATCCACCTGTCCCCCTACACTACCACCCGCGTGTGTATTAACATTAGTTTAATTGGTGAACAACATATGAACCCACAAAAGTACTTCCTGTTTTTCCTGTCTTTTTTTATTTGTTTTTTTTTTGTTTTTATTTGTTTGTTTCAATTCCCCTCCCCCTACAGAGTGATGTTATATTTACATTTGTTTGGACTGAACTTGTGTCACTATGCTCTTGGAAAAACAAGAATCAATCTTGCAGAGACATCGATTGAACCCTAGAGGAAAGAAAATTACATGTGCAGAAAATCTCTTGGAAGAAAAACTGAGCCTATGCTTTGTTCCAAACATGACAGAGCGCACTGTGGAAATAAAATATTTCTGACGACCAAGCAGATCCAGGTCCTCATCAAAGGATTTTGCCATGAGGGTGACTCTGTCGAGATACTGGACCACCAGAATGTGCAGTGGCTTGTACCAAAGTCACTGTGGCAGGAAAAATTTCCGGACGCGGAGACAAATTTTCCGGAAAAAATTCTTATCACTTTTCAGGAGGGAGAAGTAATTGAAATAGTTGATGAATTTGCTTTGTAAATAGTTACTTAATAGTTAGTTGAATAATTAATCTTTAAGTTATTTAAGTTGTTTTTTCTATATAAATTTGTTCAATGTAATTGTATATTTTTTTTCTATCAAAAATTTCTGTTATCATTCCATATTTTACTTAAGTGGTTCTTATTTTGAAATGTATTGACATCATTTGAATTATATGACATACCAGAATTGTTTGACTGTGTCATTAAAAATTGTCATGAAAAATGGATTTTGTAGTGTAGAAGTGTTTTATGTAATGCTGTGTAAGAACTCACCACTCTCACAGCCTAACTGGAGGTCATCACGTTATATCCATTTATGGTTTTGGTAAGTGTCTTGTTGTGTACTAGGTGGGTGGTCAGCTATTTTAGGGAAAAATTTAGGCTGGAGGAATGTGGGTGTAACAAGCAGATAGCCCAGTGGTTCTCAAGTCCAGTCCTCGAGCTGATTGGCTGAATTCGGCCATCATGTTTCCAGCTGCATGAGACAGATTAGTTCACAACAAAGAGAAAAAATAAGTGCAAGTTATTGCTCAGTAGTTGAGGAATAGGGGTGAAAACAATACACTCATTTCGTTTCTGTGTTACCTGGCTGGTGAAGCAGGGGAGGCGACTGTGCATGTTCTGCTTAGGCTGGAGGAATATGGGGGTGAACAAGCAGGTGCGCTTATATGCTTCAAAAACTGACAATTACTTAATATAAATACCTGAAACCTGCTTACACTTAACTGGTATCTGGTAAGTATATTGAGCAGTTGTCAGGTTTTGGAGCAGATGCCCTTAACTTCTCCATGCATTTAAATTTTCCCCACTTTAAAATCATTATTATTCATGTGTAATCAAAATCTTCAAACAAAAAGTTCCCCTCATACTTCATGAATGTTTATGACTCTTAATTTCTGCACATTGCAATTATTTCAATATGCATGCATTCTCCAATGTGACACATGACACAATGTGTTCATCTCTGTGCTCACCCAAAGTCATGCAACACTCACAGAAAACGCCGATAGTGTGAACCAAAGCACTCCATATGAAGAGGTTGTTCACACTGCTGCATGTTTCTCCTCCAAAGCTGCTCTCTGCCTCCGTTGTTGTTTACTTTACTCACTGGTAAACTTTACTGATTTGATTCGCCACGACTCTAGAAATGATGAAAAAACTACAGAATGTCACAAAATGACGTTTCCTCACTCCTGGCTTGAAGGGTAGAAATGCGCAGCCGCGCTCCCGGCTGACAGGAAGTCAAACCACTGTTGTAGTTCTTTTGTGTTGCTAGCGTGGTCAAGAGTGTTGGCTCTCACTGAGAGATGACTTCAAAAATGGACGCACCTGTTCATCTGGTTGTTTAACACGGCTGAAAATGATCATCTATTAATGTTGATCCCGCTCCCGTTGCTTTTTTTCCCATCCCGTCGCAATCACGGGATTAATAAAAAAATGACTCCCGTCCCGTGGGATTCCCACGGGAATCATGTGATCCACGGGAATTCCAGAGAAATGTCATTCTCTAGTGTACCAGAGGTTTGGTCCGCGGGTTGCACACCAGCATCAGGGGTTTCGGCCCTGTTTTCGGCAGTGTTACCAGTGCAGTGGACGCTTTATGGTTGCGTGGCTGAACAGTAAAGAAGCGGGTTCTCCCTCAGTAGACATGAGTTCGAATCCCGATAAGAGAGTAATTGCTTTTTTTTCTCGGGTTCTCTAATGTCTAATCAAGACTGTCGATTTTATTCTTTTTCTTCATACAATTGCCGATGAAATCATTAGAATTGATTCAAACCTTCCTGATCATTCAATCCTTCTTACCTTATAAAACAGCCATTTGCAACAGCATCTTGTACTCAATTCGACAGTCATTCAAACTCATTAAAAAATTACTTGTATTTTGTTTGAAGAATTCATTAATGCATGAATAGCGAAAATTTGAATAAGTTCAAACTTCAAACTATTGTACGATTTTTTATGTTTGTAATTTTCACACAATTGAAATTGTTCCTCTTAATATTTACACATTATTCAACGAATTCATCCGATTGATTCAAACCATCTTAACCTTCACATATTTTCAAAATCCAGCCATTCGCAATAGCAGCTTAGCGATAGCAATTCAGCTGAAGCAATCCCACTCGAAATTTCTTCAGAAATTTCATTTTCTAGTTTATCCTCATTATCTTATCCTCATTTATTGCATGTATGTTGTACCCTCATTTATCCTGTAATAAACAGATCATTATTTCTTGTCTGTCAGTGTCAGTGGAGGCCCTGAAATGAGAATTTCGGCTTGAGATATGAGATTGATTGATTTAAGATTGACTTAATGTTTGATTTCTGATTTAAACTTTTGTTTTTCTTTATTTTACTGTCATTAAGGATGTGTGGTGCCCCTTTCAATGAGTGCATAAATGTCATAAATTAAGATTATTATCTTCAGACATTTAATATAAATTTAAATCGCTACACCAGGTCAGGACAGGAAGGAAATGGGGGGCAGACAAGGATAGTCATGCCTGAGACAGAAGGTGTTGGTGGGCACTGTGGCCACTGGCAGAGGAGGCCTGGGCTGCTTCCCAAAGCCTAAGCCAGTAAGGCTAAAGGAAAGAAGAGACAGCAGGAAGAGGTCAGAGCTGGTGTGGAGGAGGACAGAGTGAGCAAAGCAGTGAGACTGTGTAAACAGGGAGCCTGGGCAAGGTGGGAA